CTTCCTTCCTTCCTTCCTTCCTTCCTTCCTTCCTTCCTTCCTTCCTTCCTTATTTTCTTCCTTCTCTCTCTCTTTCCCTTTATTCCTTCCCTTTTTTTTGGTCAGCTGTGGGACTTGAACTCTGGGCCTGAGCACTTTCCTTCAGTTTTTTTTTTTTGGGGGGGGCCAGTTGTGGGGCTTGAACACTGTCCCTGGGCTCTTCAGCTCAATGAGAGTGCTCTATTGCTTGAGCCACAGAGTCACTTCCAGTTTTCCAGTGGTTTATTGGAGATGAAGGACTGGGTGTGAAGGCATGGCTCAGTTGGCAGAGCACTTGAGCTAAAGTAGCAGATATATCAAAAGAATTTGGAGTTAGAGGTAGGGGAAGTGGCTCCTCTGAGATCCTAGCATTAGAAATATAGAGACCAGAGGATCTAGAGTTAGAGGCCTGACTTAGCCGGAGACAAATCTAGAGACCCCATCTCAAAAAGACAAATACACACTGACACAAAAAGCAAAAGTAAATGATTTAAGGAAATAGGTTAAATTAACATAACAGTAGGAGAGATTTTTGTGCACTTCCCTGTTGACACCTCTTAACCCTAGGGTGTAAGACAATTCAGATTACAGCCAGAAAAGTCAACAGGCCTCAGGGTATCTCAGGGTATTTGTTGTCCTCATTGTCAATCTCAATGCTTACTTGTTTTATTCAGTAGTTTTTGGGGGAGGCTTCAGTCTCACTACCTAGACCAAGCCAGCTTTTTTTTCCCCTTCAGTCCTGGGGCTTGAACTCTGGGCCTGGGCACTGTCCCTCAGCTCTTCAGCTCAAGACGAACACTCTACCACTTGAGCCACAGCGCCACTTCCAGTTTTCTGGGGGTTTATTGGAGATCAGAGTCTCACGGACTTTCTTGCCTGGGCTGGCTTTGTACCACGATCCTCAGATCTCAGCCTCCTGAGTAGCTAGGATTACAGATATGAGCCACAATGCCCTGCTCCCAAGCCTTTGAACTACAGACACTTGGGCTGCTGCCTCCAGCATGTAGCTGCTCCTTCAAATCTGTTACTTTCTTTTAAATTACTCATTTCTACATAGATCTGAATTTCTTTTTTATTTATTTATTTTTTATTGTGAAAATACTGTACAGAGGGGTTACAATTAGATGGGCAAGATAATGACTACATTTCTTTTTTTTTTTTTTTT